TGGGATTAGGGAGATGTATGTATTTGGTCCTATTTTAGAGTCCTACTGGAATCCTGTACCTGATTCTGGTATCCACAATTCAAGGCTACTTCAAAAATTGGAGAACTTGAAGGGTAGTCACAAGATGAAATACAGTTTGGTGGAAGGATATAAAGAGCAAAACCTGTTTTTTTGGCAAGGAGTTTAAGGCGTGACTTCTCAGTCCAGATGTACGGAAATCTAATAGCGAAGCCTGTTCAGTCTAGCAAAGGTATTGTGAGATCTAGCTGGTGAAGTGTGAAGCTATAGATCTCCAGGCTAGAAAGTACATATTTTTAACAGCAGTAGTAATTAGTTATTAGAATAGCTCGCACAAAATGGTTAGGTTTCACCACTACTTTCTAAAGGTTAAATTTAACTGTAAATAAAGTGAGTCTTACATATGTTTTAAATGAAGATCAAGCTAAGCTTTCCTTATGATTCCTTTGAGCCTCAGTCTCTATAAAGATTGAAGTGGAAATGTCTGAGACTGGAATACCTCATCATTTAAATGTTTTGGGCAATTTTTTTTAAATTCTTAGAAAATACGTGTGCATCTTGGGTCTCCTGACACCATGAATGCTGGATTGTAGGTATGCTTTAGGGTTAATTCTTAAGGAAGAAGGAATATGATTGTGAGCTACGCTGACTTGCCATTGATACGCTGAACCAGGTGATTGAAAATTTAAGAGCAAGTTGTTAGGCTTCCTGTAAAATTCTGTGGTATTTGTAACTTGGACTAAACATTGGGGTGAGAGAATGGTAATAAACAAATGCAGCCTTCGCTGCAGCAATGTTGTTTTTTAAATGATGTCCTCATCAAAAGGAGCAGGTATGGAAAAGGTCTAGGACTTACGGACAAGGAAGGAAAGACTTCCGGCAGAGAGATGAATGTAATGCAAAAATAGAACTGGGTAAAGATATGAACACCTGTGTGGTTAATTAGCACTTCTGTGTTGGATGTGCAAAGATGACCGGAGCATTTGCTTTAAGACCCTTACAAAGGGTGGCAACATTTGTATAAACACCTGTGGGATCGAAATGTGAGGTGATGTGACTATACTGAAAGGAGGGGAGACTTGAGTTCCAGCTGCTGTTCTAGTAAACATTAACACCCGTTTGCATAAAATATATCTACAAGAGAGAAAACAGACCTTATTAGAATGTAGATTTGTCTGGCATTTGTGGTATTCACCTGAAATTCAGGAAATGGCTTCAAAATACCCACACCAGTTGTGTCAATGAAGATTCAGACTTGCTCAAAGCTTCTAGAAACCTACTTATTTAGCAGAGGAAGTAGCATAGCTGGGACAACACAGTCTATTAATGTTCAAGCTAGCAAGCTTAAAGCTAGTTCAGTTATGTCTGCGCAAACTGTAGCTACACCTTTAAGCTGTTAGATCACATTTGAAGTGCAATTTATTATTCTTTTCTTACAATGAAACAGAATGTTTCTTTTAGAAAAAGTGTCCAAAAGGCTAATTACACATGAGAATACAAGGTGTTTTCATGTACATGTGCATGAAGCCAATCCTGACAATATTCTCAAGGTGTGGAAAGACTTATGACCCATATTTTGAGAGTTCTAGGTGGAGCAGATGACTACGTTACTCTGTCAGCTTCTATTGGATTTATGTTTACATAAATATCCCTAAAGATCTAGTGTAATCGGCTTTTCTGAGAGATCTCAACAAGAAGTGCTTAGTGTATGTTGAAGGGTAATCAGGCAGCTCACTCTAAGGAGGCGTGAGAAGGCATTTTCTATAGGAAGATGCTTAGGAAGTCAGTTTTGTGCCTCTCTTGCCTGTGCGTTCTTTGCATGTTGTTACAATATTCTTTACCGAACGGTTCACATTTTGGGTCTGGACTCCCTGGCACTAGACTGTAGCATACCTGAGTTGTGAGGTGAAAGTCCAAAACACACATCTTTCTCTTTGGAAGAACATTAATTACTGCAGGTTTTCCGTATCTGTAATCTGGGTAAGCAAGTGACCAGATACTCTGAATTCTTCAGTCTATTCATAATTTTGCGTGGAATTTACATACTCAAGTGAATCCGATTGACAGAATTTGGATTGCTCACTGTTAGAATTTAGCCAGAGTTCTTAAACTTTAACTATTGGCATTTACGAGTGTAAAAAAGAAAAAAAGTTACTATTACACCACAGATTATAAGACTTTTGGGTTCCTTTTCCTTCTTTTTTATTATTTTCTGAAGACATATTGTTGCCTGAAAGGCTTCATAGAGTAAGCCATGGCACTAGTGAGATGGCACTTTATTCATATGTGGTATATTATATATGTTTGGTATGGTATTTGTATTTATCAGTGTGAAGATTAAATATTTTATAGATTTTAAATGGTAATTCAGTGAGGAAGAAAACTTGGTACTAATTAGGAAAGGAATGAGTGTAACAGGAAAACGTGAGATGAGGAATGGTAGAATGGGGAAAAAATGTGGATGAAGAGGAAAATGGTTAAAAAGAGGTAGAAGACAAAAGCAATTCTATCTTATGTTTCATAGAGTGGATGCTGTCAGTAAAGTATGTTTGGTCCAAGTGCTAATAATAAGCTCTGATTTGCATGCTGGGCTAATGAATTCAGGTAATGCAGGTTGCTGGTGACCTCTCCTTAGGTGGCAGTTGAAAGAGAAGATCTGACGTAGCTTGTTCCCTTTGTGTTTTTGCTGGGAGCTTGTTCAGTGTATAGAAATCTACTCAGGGAAGAGTAATTTCAGATGCTGTAGTCTGTAAAAAAAAAAAATTAAAAAAAAAATTTGAGGCCTTTTGTGTAAGGAGTGAAGTAACCATTGTTACTTGAGATTTCATTTAGAGCTTTTAATTATTTTGCTTCTGTGACCCACCTGTCTCTGAAGTGGTGTAGAGCTGGTGGCCAGTATTGCTTTGGAGGGTGATGTGAGAAAACACTGCAGTGTAAAATAATACAGTAATCTTATTGAAGAAACCTGTTTCTAGAGACTTATTTCCGTTAACTGGGAGGACATCCAGTTTTGTGAGTCGATATGTTTCTTAATTCGGTTCAAGTGATGACCAAAGGCTGTGCTTCTTGCTTTAAAACAGTGTTTCTTTTTATCAGTTAGATCTTCCTTTCCAACTTCACTGGTTTATGTTTCTGTATTAAATAATACATTTCACCTTATAATTCATACAGTTGTCAGCTAATTTATTTGGGTTGTATCTGTAGATTGTTTATTCTTGAAGTGTTTTGGTAAATATATTTAAATGTGAAACATTTTATGCACTTCATCTGTCTACAGTTTTTGGTGCATAGTCTCACTTCTGTGAGACTGTGAGTTTAGGTCGGAAGAAATTGTGGTTAGCCTTCATCAAGCACTGTCTGCTCTCAGTGTAGGTTAACTGACAGCACTTTTTAATATATTAGCATTTTCTTGAACAGTTAATTTTATATAAACTATAACACCCCTTCACTTCTTCTAAAATGTCAATGTGTCTAAGCATGTAAAACATTTACCTTGTAACTATAAATTTTTATAGGTTTTTGTAGTTCAAGCTGTGGTCTTTCTACATTCTACCAACCCTGGTTAGACAAGCACAGTTATTCAGAAACTAAATCCATGTACTTGAAAATACAACCACCATCTTTTTTCCACTGAAACATTTTAGGAACTTTACATACTGTTAAGTAGAGAGAGAGTTTTGAGGTATCACAATTCTGTAATCAAATCTTTACATATCAGCATTAATGTCCAAATGCAAAGGTCAGTAGATTTTATTTTATTTTTTTTTTTCATGTGAAATAACAAGTATCATGATCACATGTCGTTTTTGGGGAAAATGATTCAAATTTAGCTAGGATTGTTGGTAGTGATGCTTTTTTTAGTATCTCCTGTAGACTAATGGAATAATAAAAATAAATTTAAAAAAGTATTTGGGGTGCTGCCATATCTCTCCAGTATGTATCTGTAGGATATATATTGCACCAAAACTTTAGGTACTAAAGGATTAATACTGTCAGTGATCCACTTGATCTTATAAGGGAGCGGTGGATCTATTAGACATCCGTCTTACCGATCGTCCTTAGACCTCTGGCCAGCACAGCGTATGTCAGTACTGTGTTGGTCACAGGTGTTCACACATAGACTCTAAATTATGTAGGAAATACCAGTTTTTCTCCATTGATATATCTCTTTGTCAAGAATACCAGCTATGCAGGTGAATTTCTTGAACTGTGTTTTGCATTCCACAAAATGCTCTACTCTGTTCAGTAAAGTGAGCATCAGTTGGATCTATCCCTTCTTTGCCTGCATGATGTAGGTAGGAACTGCATCTTCAGTAGATTTTATTTTTTTAGAAGATGCACATACAGCCCTTGCTTAGTACGCAGCTGTTCTCAGTACCCTGTGAGTATTTGTACCTCTGAGCTAAGACAAAACCAGAAGTTTTTAGAACAAAGTGTTGAGGTTAAAGGGAAAGTAGGTTTGTTTGCCTTTAATTAAAAAAAAAAAAAAAAAAAAAGCCAGTATTTGAACCTCACTGGAATGTAGCCTTTGTTCTGATTTTTCAGGTTTCCAAGCAAAACGGTAATTTCCTGGTTTTAAGTATTATTTTTAACCTTAATTTTCAGCATTCTCACTTACTACTTAGATCTTTCATGCTAACGGTGTTGATAAACTTTTCATAAGGGATTGGGGAGAATTGGTCAGGTAAGAGAAGTTGTGTAGTACATGATTGAGTTGAGTGATCAGTCTGATACAATTACAACTGCATTGTTGAATTTCTTTTAATATCTTTAATAAATTTGGCTTTAAGGAATGTGGCTATGTCTGAATACCTGCTTGCTATTCAGATGCCAAGCTGAATATTAGCTTACAATTCCTGCTTGGATGTTTCAATCATTTTGGGGGTTTTTTGGCTTTTTTTGTTTGCTTGGGGGTTTTGTTGTTGTTGTTGGGGTTTTTTTGTTTTGTGTTTTGTTTTGTGTTTTTTTTTTTCCTAATCTAGGATGAAACAGGTGCCTATTTAATAGACAGAGACCCAACCTACTTTGGGCCAGTGCTGAACTATCTCAGACATGGGAAACTGGTTATTAACAAGGACCTAGCTGAGGAAGGTAAGATGTTACTAAATCTCTTGCTTTCTTGTCACTTGTTTATTATTTTCGCTGCTTTTGAGTCACTAAAAGTAACCTACAAGTAGATGGTAAATCTTAATCAGTGTAGCATTTCAGTCTGTTTCAAGCAAAGCTGATAGGTATGGTGCAGTTACAGTGTATGCTGTTATGTGAGTGTTTTGAGTATGATTCCTGGTTTCACAATGCCATCCCCAGTTAGAAACAGAACAGCAGGGGGTTGGAACTAGATGATCTTTAAGGTCCCTTCCAACCCAAACCATTCTATGATTCATTATATAAATATTCAAATGTGAGAGGAATGCCTTTTATCATATAATCTTGTATCTTTCCTGTAAAATTGTGTGGAATATTTGGGTTTAGTCTGCTTCAAGCAAAAGAATACTGGCTGTGCAACAAGTTTTAGAAGATGTAAAGCTAAGTAAGAGTGAAGTTCTGGGATGTTCAGATGTACGGAATATGTTCTTAAAGAGTAAATTCTCCCCCTAGCTTCTCACTCCCTGTCCCCAATTCATGTCAGTTTTACCCTAATGGAGGGTGACTGTTTTAAAGCATACAGTACTAAAACTGTATTGATAAGGTATTGAAGAAATCAATCAAAGAGAAATACAGTCTAAGAATATTAGCAGGAAATAATGTGAAATATAATTTCCATGTGCGTTGTTAAACACATAGTATGTGTGGAGAACAGGTAAGGCTTGAGCATGTGAATGGGACTGGTTTGTAGTGTGTATCTTTAAGATTTTGTTTCAGGGTTTAAGATCTCACAAAAAGAAAAATTTTCTGCACACTATCAGCTGCAGAGCTCGATTTTCTCTTTCATATTCCCCCCTGAGCTATGGTGGTCCATCAGTCTGCTGTGGAATGGCATTTGTGCTCCTTTTTTCTTGTTTCCTGCCTCTCGTTCTGTATGTGAAATGGCATCAATTTTCTTAGGGATTTTTGTAGGACAGTTTTTCAGAATGAGCTAAACTTTGAACTACATGTGCCTGAAGGAAGCCAGAATCATTAGGTTGGTAAATGAACTTTTCCTAGAGCAAAATAAATAATTTTCTATAGCTGTAGAGAAGATAATCTTAGGAACTGGTTGGTGGTTTTATCCTGGAATCTTTGGTTATACTCTCTTTCCAAAAAATGTTCTCATACTAGGTGTACTGGAAGAGGCTGAATTCTACAATATCACATCACTAATAAAACTGGTAAAGGACAAAATAAGAGAAAGAGACAGCAAAATCTCACAGGTGAGGCTGTTTTCTAGTGTGGTTTTGATTATTTGTTCTATGGCAAGTGGTGGGTGGGTTCCGTTTTTTTTCTTTGACTCCATGTTTTCCCAGAAAAATACTGAATGGCTGCCTCCATCACTGGCTGAGCTGGAACCATTAGTACGCAAAAATTAATATTCTTAATCTCCAGTACCTGCCAGTCTGCTTACAAAGGGCACAGGCATATGGTTCCAGTTCTTGTTCAAAAACTGAAAACATTCTAAAGAATTGTTCAAAAATGTCTGGTAATAGTAGAACTTGTCATAATATCATTTTTGGAAATAGTTATTTTAGAAAGCAGCTGTTGTAGAATATATTTTTCTCATATACGTTTAAGTACTCTGAATATGATGAGATTGCCTAACTTCGGTGTAACTGCTGTTTATACAGTAAGTTTGTACAGCGTACATACAGATGCTGTTCAGCTCCTGTCATACACTTTTTTAGCAAAATTAGTTTCTTTATTTGTAGTGCTCTGTAGTTGAGAAGACTCTGTCTCATAGCAGCTCATGAATATTTCTTCATAAAAGTGAATGTGATAGAGAAAGCCTTAAGAAAGGATTCAGGTTTGTTCTCAGGCCTTCCCTAACTGAGTCTTCATGGAGATGTTACAAACTCACATTGCCAAATTTCTCTTGAAGCTGGGTTGTGGGATAGCAGAGTTGCTCTGATGGCATTTTCTGAAGGGTTTCAGCTGAAATAGTCCTAGTTATTCATTGCTCTGGATGGGAAACTTTGACAGGGAAATAGAGACGTTTTTAAATTTGGTCAGACATTCTTTAGAGTTAGGTAGGCCTCTGCAGAACCTCAACCTTGATTTTGAATGATGTGGTTTGCTACTATGTGGAACGATAGGTAAGTCTTATGATTATTTTGTTTTAACTGTTAAGTAGCACTTTTAGTCCCTGAAACATGCATGAAGCATTGAGTCATCTGCAAAATTGTTTTAAAAGAAATCTGATCTGTTCAGAATCAAACAAAAAAAAAAAAAAGGCAAGGTATTCAAGGTGGTGTTGCTTATCATTTCTTAAGAATAAGGGCAACTTTAGACAAGTCATATACGTAGTGCATTCCATGCTGTGTTGAGCATCTTTTATTTCTTCTTGAAGGTGCCAGTCAAACATGTATACAGGGTGCTGCAGTGCCAGGAAGAGGAACTCACTCAAATGGTTTCCACAATGTCCGATGGCTGGAAATTTGAACAGGTAAAAACCCATATGGGTTATAATTACAAAGTCTTCTAAAAATTCAGTTATGTAAAAGAGGAGTATAAAGTCAATTCTGTGCATCTTTTTAAATGCAGTCATTTTCAGAAATTGGATAGATAAAGATACACAGTTAAGTTAAAATTTGATATTTGCATTCTTATTTGTCAGAGAACAAAAAATCCATAGCTTTCCAGGAGGTAAATTGTACTGAATTTCTATTAAAACATCTACATCAAGTTTGAAATGTAATTCTTTGGTGTCTACACATGAGCATTTGACGGGTGAATAAACCAAAATTAATTAATATAAGTTCATACAAATGGTAAGTCAGATATAAACAGCTTTGAGTAAAAGAGATGAGCTTGGGAGATAAATGTTTGTCAGGCCCAAACAATGGTTCTTCAGATAAAGAGCTGATACATGCAGGAGAGTGAACTTAACCAGCGTGGATGTGAAGCTGGATAGGTGTGAGCTATGTGAATATTTTCATTCTTTGCACCACATAAAAATAGCTCTGTGTGTACGTTCAAGAATACGTTGTAAAATTGCAAGAAGATCTTTCAGTTATCTTTGCTAATCTCTGTAAATGAGAAATTAACTACGTGGCCTCTTTGTCCTTCACGTTCCTCACCTACCAGAATATTTAAACTGCATGGAGGAGTGAGACACAAGTGCTCAGACACCAGCATCTTTTTCAGTGTCTGGTGCCAACTGTAGGAGAGATTGGAATAAGCACAAACCTCTTATCCTGTGCAGTCTCACTCTATTAATACAACAAAGCAGCATTTTTAAAAGTATGGCGCACAAAGGTAAAAGAGAACATTTTGTTTATATTTGATGAAATGTGTAAGGTGCTGGTGTCATGGAGACAGTAAATAAACTAAACCAGCACAGAGAAAGCTGCTTATGCTTCTCTGGCTCAAGTATTACCAGGTCTGTTTGGCATGCCAGCAGCTGAATGTTGTTTTTTGAGTCCCTGAAAAAAGCTCTCACTTAATGCACATGACTGTTTTTTGACCACTGCATTGATAAAATTTTTTTACATTCTTCTTTCTCATGAGAAACTAGCTTTCATTACAAATAGAGACTCTTTACTTTTTAACAGATTAAATGATACTATGGCTTTTACCTGTCCTAAAGCCTTGCATTCTTCGGGGATATTGTATTTGGGAGTAATACTGCTTTGACAGTGCAACTGCTGAAAGAACCTTTATAATCTCTTGTAGAATTTAGAATCTTTTAGCACTGGAAAATTCCAGTGGTTTTCTTGACCGTTATGTCCTGTTTCATCCAGCTTTCTCCCTACTTCCTCCCTTCCCCATGTCGCTGTTGCTCTCTCTTGGACACGTAGTTTGAAATAGATAAACACAACAGCTGTATGATCTCATAATACTCAGCTTCTCGTTGCCTTGGACTAGGCCATTCTCTCCTTTGGTTGTATTGCAGACCTGCTTTTAGCAGACATCACTCACTTGAAACGTGTAATATATATACATTCTGAATAATCAAAACAGTTTTATTGTTAAGATTTGACAACACTGTCACATTTCTGTAATTTTTTATCTTTTCTAAACCTGTGTTGCTCAGAAGCAGTCTTTGGGGTCTTACCTACCACGCTTTGTACGTGTTACCATTGGTGGGATAGAAATCATCACCTTTTTCAGAGGAGCAATATTCCTGTGGGTTGAGACTCCTTGTGCTCTGTGCCCCATATAACGTGTTTAAGTGGTTGGGTTTGATCAAAAATATTTCTTTCCCCTTAACATTTCAAAATTTTCTTGTAAAATACAATTGAATGTGGTGATTAAATAGGAGTGGAAGGTGTTACACTTCTGGTGCACTTACTCGGATGTATTGATGCCGTTTTCGAAAGAATACAAGTGAAAGCATTGCTAGAATACTACAATTATGTATCAGTCGCAGTCCAAAAACTACTGCCAATAGTTGTGCTGCCCCACTTTGGTGATTTCAGTGGGTTATTTTGTAGATGATTTTTAGCTTCAATTGTTACCTCTTCAGGCAATCAGAAGAAACAATATTTTGGCAAATATACTGCATAATGAGAAACTTCGGGCTATACAAAATTGCTACATACAGAGGCTTTAGACAGCAGTGGTGTGTCAGTCATGTAAATTTTAATGATTAGTGTAACCTGAGTCTGTCACCATAATGCTGTCTTAAATATGTTCACTGTACGAGGAGGACAGTATTTAGCTGCTGCCTTCAAAATTATTCACATAACAATAGCAGGATAAAAATATATTTACTGTTCATGAGTCTTCTCATCAGTAGTAATCTCCAGTTTACTCAGAATAGGCGGTTGTTTTCTAGTTCTTCACACTTAATTTAAAGCTCTAATCTTTCTCAAGTGGACTGACAGGCTACGCTTTAATTTAAATGGGCTAGGAATTGCCATGCATTATTAAGGTATAATTTTTTTTGTAATAACAAGTTGAGAAATTTAGCTGAGGTTGTTCCGAACTGCTGAATTATTAGTCATTTGGCAAGTGTGAACAGAGTTCTTGGTACTGATTTTTATGGGAACAAGACAGACAATTTTTTCCACTCTAGTTATTTTCTTGGATCTTCTGTAAATTACCCCTTCTAAAATCAATTTAGAGCACTCAACTTTTTTTCTTCTAGTTGACTTCATATGTTTCCTTAGCCATATTTTGTTTATTAATATCTGGAACAAGATGAAGCTCTTTCATACCCAGGCTTGATATATTGCTTTGCATAACACCTTCCAGTCTTATATCCACGTTACCTTCTGCACTTGGCAAGTATGACAGGACAATAATGCTCACGTTTGTAATGTACCAAACTTTGTTATGGTTTTCAGAGTAGTTGGTAATATAAAACTCTCCACAGTGATATAGGGAGTTTTCTGACTTACTATCAGTAACTCTTAACATCCCTTGGAATGACAAGGGGCTTTTCAACTGCCTCCATAAATTTTAAGTATGTTGAAATGAAAGTTGTAGCTTGATAGCAACCTGTTATAGTGGCAAGTAAATGTTACCTGAACGTTTGAGCTCACCTGTTATTTGTACGATTTGGATAACAGTATGTGCTTCAGCTTTACAAAGGTTTCTTTTTGTGTTTTGCTTTGATTGGTTATTTCAGCTTGTCAGTATAGGTTCCCAGTACAGCTGTGGCCGGGCCCAGCAGTCAGAGTATCTGCTGATAGTGTCACGGGAAGTGAAAGGGGAAGAGAGATGCTTCCAGAAATGCTGCAGTGAGGTGTGTCACACCATTCTTTTTGCCCTCACACTGATATGCTTGGCCTCCTTGCGTTTCTGCTGCTTTCAAATCATTCCACTTTATTCCTGGATGTACAGCACATAGTAATTTGTGTGTATCTGTGACTGGCTTTTATTTATATTCACGGTATTTCATTATACATTATGAATGTTCATATTGTAAAAATAATAAAAAACAAATAAAACCTCCCCCAGTTATTTACTTAAAGGTCTTAAGAGGAGTTCTTACCTTCTCAGTAGGTAACTTCTTAAATTTTCCTCCAAAGTTAACAGCCTTTAATCCATACTTGTTAAGTAAAAGTGGTGCAATTTAAACATTAGGAGCCCTGTAAACAAAGCTTTTAGTTCACTGGGTTCAGAAAGGGACATTTCTGTGCAACATTAATCATTGTTGCAGTTTGAGTGTATTTCATCCACCAAATAGCCATTTAAGTTCTGAGTTCAAACCCTTTATTTCTGGAAACTCAGAACTTAACTGGCTTTTTGGGTGGACAAATATATTCAAACTGGAGCAGTGAATAACAAAATTTTTCAGAAATAAAATGTGGAGGAGTGAGGGGAGAGCAAAACCAGCAGTTTTAAGCCTTGTCTCAAGTGGAAAGAACATCGGGGTGGGGGGAGGCAGCGGGTTTGGCTTTATTTTTTTGTTGTTTTGGATTTTTTTCCCCCCTTGGAAAATTTTCTTGAAACCCAACTGAAGAATCATAGCTTCACTCATTGGCTTTTTAAGCTGTCTCATCCTTCCTGCTCCCCTCACCCTCAGGTCACTGCTTTTTTAATTACTGTGTTACTTCCCAGTGTTCAAGCATTTGGGAAGGATTTTTTGCTAACCAGTACTATTGGAGGCAGTTTCCAGTTCTTTCCATAGCTGTGCTCCATTTTGAAGTGTCTTATTTGATTTGGGAACCTGGCATTCTGTAGTATTTTTCATCAATAAAATACTCGGAGTACTTGTTCTTTTCCTTGCTATATATATGGCTATTCAGTCTGAAAGATCAGTATAACATCATGAGGATAACATGACAGTGAAGTGACTTGATATGAGCAGAATTTTGTCTATGAGTTTACATGGACACTTAGCCATGCAATTCTGGATTTTTAAACCTGGACTGTTGCCTGGCTGTATTCCCGAATCTGCTTTCAATGTACCAAGCACTACCTGTTTCTTGCAGTCGTATAGGTAACATTTGGAATGTGGAATTAATGCACTGGGTTTGCAGGCTTTCTGGAACTGAGTAGGAAACATGGCCTGTTATTAAGGATGTGTAGAGTACAGGCAGCATGATGTTATTCATGTGTTTGTGTCCTAGATAGCTCAAAGTAAAATTCAACATAATAAAAGATGGGAGATGGGGGAAGGCAGTGAAGAAATGAAGACAGGTATAAAATTAAAAAAAAAAAAATCTGGAAGGGAATGAATTTTCCTTCCTCCTAGATTGAAGTCTGACAGTTGCATTAAGAGACCTGAAATAAATATGCTTACAGTCCTGGTGTCAGTCATCAATGCTGAGTTTAATGGCTGATGTGTATGTATCTTTACAGCCTTTTACAAATCCTTTGAGAGGGCAGTAGAATGAACACATTATAACTCTAAAAGGCGTAGAGGCCATTCTTATGTTCATACAACTTGACTCTGTAAAAAAGATTGAGGGGAGGACTTTACTAACAGTTGATAGAATAAAATATAATTTAAAAAAAAAAAAAAGACAGGCTTTCCAAGACAAGCTTTCTAGTGTACAAGGAGTTCACCACATCTGAAATAGAAGCAGTAATATTCAAAGTATAAGAATATTTAAAATAGAATTTAAGAATAATTGTTATGAAATTTAGTTGGTTTTGAGAATCACATCATCACAGAAAGAGAATGAAATTGATAGTCATGAAATAGAAGAGTTAGTTAATATAAGTAACTCCAATGGGAAGCACAGAAGGGCAGGGATGCTGTTTGTGCAAGTTGGAGTGGTTGTCTGTGATGGTAATACTATTGCTAATTTGTCCTGTAAATGTACTGCATAGATTCTGAATCAATATTGTTAAACCAGTATAGCAAATCTGTATATCGGCAAGTTATTGAAATGTGGCTGGTTTTGAGAACTGTCTCAATTCAGTTAGGCATGAGATTTGTTCACTTCAAAAATAAGGTTTCTAAAAGTGATGCACCAACCATTTTGCCTATTCATAGGGATATTTTTAGGTGTAAAGTCATTGATTAAAGACAGAGATTCATATATTTTGCTGCCGTTGAGTAATGATACAAGAATCATTTGACCTATTCTCTCAGCTATACCACTTTTATCGTCTGTTTTTCTTAACTGTGTCTTTCAAAAAAGACTATTTATCCTCTCACAGAACTGCAGACTTGGAAAAGTTCTTCAGAAAGTAACTTCAGTATTGTCCCTGAAATCATTCTTAAATCTTTCGTCTTTGAAAACAAGCCTGACCATCACTAGGCATCAGGTAGTCTCTGTCCACCTTTACTTATGCCAAACTGTTGGGTTTTTTTAACTTTGCCCTTTCTGATTGTCATCTTTTATCTTACTTAAAAGTTCAGGCTTTAGGAGACAGGAACTTACCTGTTGTTATTTCTTTGTCTTTTCAGGAAAATCCTGACCTGTATTGGCACATCAAGCAATATAATGCAAATAACTATACTTCTCTTGTAGTAGTAGTAGTACTACTACTACTAATGTTTCCATTCCTGGCTTTTTTAGTTAGAGCTGACAGCCTACTAGTGTCAGCACTCTTATTCCATGCAAACAGTGAATGGATCATGATCTAATGAATTTTCTGTGATAAGTAACATTGGCATTTTCCTATGCTTGGTTATGACACTGTTGGGGCTCACAGGGATGCTCAAGCAGGATCACACTGCTTTAGTAAGGAGTGTAATGAAACAAGTCATGGAAGGAAAAAAACGGTGAGGAAAAATATATACATGCATATATGAATATATATACATACAAATCTATGAAATCCAGAGTTTCAAAATGTTCTTTTTTCCTTCCTTAAATTCCTGGTCATTAAAACTCTTTCTACTGTTTAAGCCCCATAAGCCAAAAAGAGTTTGTCCTTTCAGAAAGTCCGAGAAACAGTAGGCTGGATTATCTGAAATCCTTTTCCTATGCATTGTAACACACGTTTTGCAGACCTCAGATTACTCTGATTTGTTGTGGGTTTTTTTGTTTTGTTTTGGGTTTGTTGTTTTTTTTTTTGGTTTTTTTTTTTTGAGGGTGGGGAGTGGTGGTGGTGATGGGAACCAATGGACACAGGGCGGGGGACTTTAACAATTCCTTCCAGTTTATCAGCATGTGTCTTAAAGTGTTGCCACCAACACTGGGAACAGTGGGTGACTTTTGGATTACAAGTGCTAAAATACTCCTTTATTTCTGGTCATACTTTCTGACCTAACAGTTCAGTTCTAATCTGCAATCATTTTCCATTGTTTCTCTTTCTGCCATCGCCCTTATTGCTGCTGATGCATCTCAAAAAGCTACAATGAAGTCTCTAGTGTGCTATTGATACTATGCAAATAATACATTCTTGGTTGGACACATATGGAACTGCTTAGAAGAGTATCATGTGTTGGAGTCTTGAAGAACTTGTATTTAATGTTGCAAAAGTGACTTTGTCTTGAAATGCACCAGCTGATTAATAATGGCAAAAAGTCATCCAGATGTTTTGCAGTTAGCTAAAACAATAGTCCTAGCCAATAAGCAGTCAGTCTGCCACATCTCCTAAAAAGACTTATGTGCAAAAGGTCAATGTATTTGGATTATGAAGCGTTAGTAGGGGATGTAAGTAGCTATCAGCTGAGGATCTATCTACCTTATTGGACCAGGATTGATGATTTGGCTGATGTTTGGATCTTGTATCATATCTGCTTTCAGAGAGGTCATTTCTTTCTTTTGAGTGTCAATGAGTAAAGAAGTATTTTTCCTTCTGGTAGTTGTTATCATAACTTATCTGGTAGCAAGTTCTTGCCATTTTGCAAGAAAAAAGTTGACTGTGTACTAAATCAAATCATACGCTTGAATTTTATTCTTCAAATTTCTCTTCAGAGAAGGTGAATTATGTGTGGCTTTATTTAAACATGTATCCAACTTTTTGAATATTTTCTAGCCTTTAAGTAGGTTAAAAATACTGTTTAAAATAGTCCTATATTTACTTCAATAATTGATGCAGTTATTGTATTTGTATTATATGGTTTGTAATTGATATATTTTATATATATAGGATAAACTTTATACCATGTCAACAGGCTTAGAGCCAATTTAACTGCTTTTTTCCTGAAAATTGGTGCATGATGTTTTTTGTTGATGGGGAAGAAAATCAACAAATAGTTTCCATATATGAAAAAAATCTGGGTTGATTTTCCAGCTCTTCAATGGACTTTCTCAGTCCATTATGTGCAACTAAGCAACTAGTTACTTTATGGGTTTTGTGATTCTATATTTCACAAATATGTTATGGTGCAGACTGCAGAGTATCCGTTGTGAAAGATTAGCTGACTTAACGTCTCAAGATACAAGGTGCCTTTGCATTCCAGTGAGGATGTATTGGTGCTCCTAAAAAAACCTGAGGGTTTGTAACTTCATTACATGGTTTTGGTGGAAAAAAAGTCTTTATCACATTCATTTTTTATTAGCTTGTGTTCATCACTGACTACATACGTATTTTGCAGAACTAGAGTGATGTTAGGAGTGGAAGAGGGAGGGGAAGGTTTCTGGTGTTCACACCCAGACAGTGTAGTTAAAGTAGGTAGTTTGAGAGTGCTGAATTTTGATTGCCAGTACTGTTCATTGGAGGCTGAGCCTTATATGCTGTAATACCATCAGGGTCCAAAACCTTTGACATCACCTCGGCCTGGCATCAAGTCGGTTCACTGTGCAGACATACTGCCTGCTGCTCCTTGTAGACATTGGCTCTGTCTGTCTGTGAAGGTGCTTGCTTGGCTGTCTTACCACAGTGCTGGAACATCTGAGCATCTCTCTCCTCTCTCTCCTTAAAAGTACAATGAAGCTTTGCTTTCTCCTGGCAGTACTATATGGAAGCTGCTTTTAACCTTCATCTACCTTCCACTTTTGTTGGGGGAATAACCTTATCCCTCAAGTACAGATTCTGGACCAAGATTTCATCTTGGCTGCGTCTTCCCTGCTTTAACAAGGCTTTTACTCTCTTTGGTGCTCTGCTAGACTAATGGCAGTGCACAGTTTGTTTTTAGACAAATAACTACAGTGTTTCAGGTGCTGTAGCCCTAAAACACCAGTCAAGACTTTTCTATGGGGCCATTACCAGGGCACTTTAATGATATACTAGAGATTGGGGAATGGGACAGCCTTATCACGTGTGTGAGGTGATTTGGTAGGTAGGTTTAATGTAGTTTTAGTAATGACATTTAGATACAGTGTAACTGTGCAGCAGGTTGATTTTTAGGATTTTGATCTGTGTCAGTAGTAATAGTACCATACATTATCTTGTCATACTTTTGAAATAAACCTTTAAAATAAATGAACCAGCTACGTCTGAATTTATTCTGGCTTGGAAAGGCAGGCTATGTAAAGCTTCTAGCATTAGGTAAGTGTACTGTGTGTAAGGTAAGACAAGTTAAATGAAATTTCTGCCGTTTGATAAACATGCTACATACAAGGTAGTACTGATGTTGAGTATATCCTTCCTTCTTAGTAAATTGTCATTTATCATTCAATATCGAGATTTGTAGAAGCTTGTAAATATGTCACATTCCATTATACATGGCTTCCGCTTGTAGCGCTTCCTTAATTAACTTCCTTGTAGCAGTACATATGAATTTCAGATGTTAATCTTGGTGTCCCACCATGCTGTGTCTTGCTGTTTTCCAATCAAATGCAAATTTTGTCTTTGTCCACTCAAAATATGTTTTAATAGAAGTACCGTTATTCTGTAAGTAAAGTGGTGGGTATCCCTTCAGGCTAAAGTGCTTCCTGCATGCAGCCATTTACATGTTAAATCATGCCACATTAAGATACCACATACAAACCTTTTAAAAATTAACTTTGGAGGATGGGAAGGTTTCCAGTAAGTAACAGAAACAGGGAACAGGCTACTTCTCCACTGGCCTGCCTCTGTAGCTTTTTCTTTCACAGTATAATCATAACCGTAAATCATTAATCCTGTAAATCTTTAAAAAGAAAAGCTATGTTTATCTTATCTTCAGAGTGTCAGTGTATTTGTCAACATCAAAACATATTTGCATTGAAGTGGAGAATCATGCTTCAGGCACAACCAACAGTCTGAAGAGTGAGGGGGTTTGTACTAATGATGAGAATTCATGAAATTTGTTTCATGTGGAAATGCAATTGACTACTTTTTTTTTTTTCCATGTTTCAGCTGGTCAGTATTGGTTCTTCCTATAACTATGGCAATGAAGATCAGGCTGAATTTCTGTGTGTTGTCTCAAAGGAATTGCATAACACTCCCTATGGCACAACCAGTGAACCCAGTGAAAAAGCAAAGGTGAGTTACTGGACGTTGGACTGAAGAAATGGTGTCAAATTGGGTGGGCTTCACTGAGTCATGCTGGGCCTACCTTTGTTCTAGACCACTATTTAATTGCCTTTTTTCCCCTCCCTTGTGACTAATAATGGTTCCCTGTCCATTGTATGAGAGACCGTAAATGGTACAGTCAGCATGCATTTCTTATACCAAATAAGTTCTTTAGATACAATACTCTGTACTATTCCTGATACCTGTCCTGTTTTTCAAGTGTTGGCAGATATTTGCTGTTTAAAGTTGAGAAGCTGGGTTTTGTTTCTTACACATTTGAATGACATTTGAATGCTTCCTTACTCTGCCACTGTTTCAGTTGAAAACTTTTTTTCTTGCTTGAGTTCAACTAAAGAAATCTTACTGTCAAGAATGAAGATTGTAATATGCTGTCTCTGAAAAATAGTCATGTGCAATATGTTATAAAATGAAGGTACTTGTTAGCTTAATATTTTCAGGTTTCTACCTAGTTCTCTTTACTTTCTGTTATCAGCATTACAGAAAGATTGTAATGGGCACAAGATCTTAGCATTTTACTCAGTTGTCTGTCAGAGTTTATACCAGGGAAAATGTAAAACCACAACTGAATAGTAATAAGGCAGACCAGTTATGTATGTAAGAGTATTCTCCTCTTCCACTCATATTGATCGGTTTTTATCATTGTATTGTTGCTTTGTATGAGGAGATGACAACAGACAAACTGGATACTTCTCTAGTTGGCTTAAAAGCTTTTCATTTGGTATATGTAGATGGGAAACATTGGATTACAGATCAAAGGTTGCTTTTTCAAGAATCACATTCAAACAAATTAATTTTGAAATAATGCTAAGAATTGATCTGGGTTTTGGCACTACGGCCTCAAGTAGATAAAACTTCACTACTTTCTGTGTCTCGTAACTTGGATATGCAGCTGCACATATGAAGACATTTTTGTAAATTGCATTATAAAAATACTCCAAGCTTTATGTTGGATTCTTAGTGAAATGATTCATTTATGCTCTTTTATCGCTGTTGAGACAGAACTTCCAAAGAGTTTTAAAGGATTAACATAGTCATGGGTAAACAGTGAACACCGATAAGCCATGGCTCACTCTTTTCAAAGCCCTAGTCAAGATCTGCTTTTGCCACGATGCTTCAGGAAAACTTGAAAGATTGACAAGTTAGAGGCGTGTGGTAATAATTTAGGGTGAGATATGTACCTGAAATAAAAAGCGGAATTCTAGAACTTAATCAACATCCTCATAAGGAATGGTAGTACATCTTTAGGGAACTTCAGAAGTTGCCAGAGTTCCATTGCATCCTTAATGTAAAAGAAAATACAGATCAAATGAAACTATTAAACCCTAAATACAAAAGCTAGTTCAGAGTGCACTACAACTCTGTAAATTCAGTGGCTCGGAGAGAAGCCAGATCTTAGACCTCTCCATTGAAGTGCTGCTTGGTCATTGTTTCAGAGAAGAGGGCAGAGCATAATTTGACCAAGGTGATGAATAAGAATTACTGTTAATGTTGGTCAGAGATATAAACATTCACTCCTTTTGTCCTGGAAGAATGGAGCTGTTGTTAGCAATTAATGACAATACTTGAAGAATCATTTTTTTATATATTGTGTTTCTAATAGATCAATTATTTTTTTTAATAGGTTTATGTTGTGCCTGAGGAGAAAAAAAAAATCTTTTTGGTTGAGAGGTTTCTGACAGCTGTGTTCAGGAATCTTGACTGGACCTTGGCAGCTGGTGTCTCAATAGTTCCCTCTTAGCCAGTGTTAATCCTCTAATCTGCAATTTGTTCATTAGTGTCTGAGTTGGTCTTCATAAAGTTCATATGATTGAAATTCTAGTATCCAGTGATATGTACAGAATAATGTGTTCATGTACTGGGACTGACTTTTAGAAGCCATGAGAAAGTCTTCCTATTACTTTTACAGCAGGTTGGATTAGAGAAAACAAAAAACTGCCAGTGTGTAATTTTTATTGACAAGTGCTTCAATTTTAATTAATAGCACTGGACTTTCAGAATAGGAAAAAGCATTTTCTGATAGCCCATCTAATTAAGCTTCACCTTCATTCCTTCTTAAAGACTTTTTTTTTTTGTGTTTTCTTCTTTTGGAAAACAGTTTGCATAGTAAGTTAGTATTTGACTTATGTGTAACCTTCTAATACACTTAAGCAAAGGAAATTAATGGCATTATGGAACATTGAACTTAAATGGTTCCAGTGGCTTTTACTGGTGGCCATGGCACTACTGAAAGATAACCTGTATTCCCACGACCATTCTTCTCTTTCATACCACTTTATTCACCTGTCACCTGTGGGACAAATGACAAAGCTTGTTCATAATGTCTGTATCCAAAGTTAGATTCTCAAGTGCTATCCTTTCCCATCCATGGTGAAGAGTACATGAAGTTAAGGTTCCAGCTTTACAGTTTGATTTAAATTTTCTCTGTACTCATGATCCCTGTTGTTATGTTGCATGGCACTATTGGCTTCTGTCTGCTGACTTTAGGACACTTCAAAAAGGAAATTTTCATGAAATCTGTAATGTTCCTCCTTGAAATTGTCTGCTGTCATATTTTCTTACCAAGAGTGGGGGTCCAAGAGAAAAGTGAATAAATGTCATTCCCAGATGCTTCAAGTGTAAGTGGACTGTACTTTGCTGCAGCTCTGACTCACTTGCAATCTCTTCTTTTCCCTTCCTTTCTCTATACTTGCTGCATGCTGCATGCCACTCAGAGTGAGGATGAAGAAACGGATTACGATATGAATGACTCAGATTAAGTGTAAATGTCATGGTGAGCACTAGCTGCCCTAGGATTTTACCCAGATGCTTTTCTGCCCCATCCAGTTCCTACCCCCACTAGTGCTGTCCTTTGGCAAGTCCTGGTGGTGTGTGTGTTTGTGATTATAGTTGTGGCATGGTTAGCTAAGATAGAATTCCTGTTCTGGATATTGCTTCTTTGACAGAATAATTAGCGTTGCTGTTATAAGTTGTATTGTGATTGGTTCCTTTAAAGCTTCGCCAAGAAGAAAAATTCTTCGTGTAGATTGTAGGGTCAGAATTGCTTTTCATTTTTATTTTTTGTCAAATGGTTTTTTATGTGTAGAGGCATCCAATACAAACTTAGAGTATACATTTTCAGTAAATGTCTGATTTGGCAATAAATTAGCAAACTTGACTGAAATGCAACATAGTCAAAAGCTGGTCTTATCTGATAATTTTGAAACTAATATTTTTTTTTTAATCAAGACCTGGCAAATATAAGTAAACAGTGTGATCTCAGTGCTGTAGCTATATTTATCACAGGAAACAGCTCTCTCTGGGGAGGGATCAGGTCCTTTCCACTGTAGTTTGACATCCTATTGAAGATCAAGGTACTTTAAAAGTCACAAGTGGAAGAACACAAAAGTTGCATCAGAAAGAACAACTTCACAACCTTTTCCTAACGTGTCTGCAAGCACTGCTCATATTTATTCTGCTATCCAATTTCTAGAAGATAACTTATCATTGAATGTTTAGTGATAGAGTGTGCGGGTAGTCACTTGAGCCTGTATAAATTGAAGGCATTTACCATTGCATGAGATTGAACTCCAGCTTCTCACCTATACACCTGAACTTTTTAGCTGTAAAGCAGCCTTATACTTATCTCTGAGGTGTTGCTTCTGCATGGCTGAAGAAGAACCTACGTTGTTTTCTTAACTGATGCTGACAAACTACTGCTGAGGTAGAATAAGGCCTTTTCCCAAGTCTTCAGGAATGGCTGCAAGGAATGGATCAAATCTGAAGCTTTATTGAAAAAATAAGCTGGTACTGTGCTGGAATTGAATGCAAGATTCTTAAGTTGCCTGAGAGACAAACACTATTCTGTCTACAGCAGATTTATTTTGAGTGGGAGGAAATAGTTCTCACGTTCTGCTTCCCTAAGAAACAATCACACTCAGGCCCCGAGGTTATGAGAGTTCATTCAGTTTTGCTTAGACTTTATAAGTCAACTTTGGATCTGGTGCACCTGGAGGAAAAACAGAACAGAAATATGAAAAGAAAGAAAATTCTGAACACAGCGGATCTGCACCAGGGTTGGGACAGTCCCCGGTATTAGTACAGACTGGGTGATGAATGGATTGAGAGCAGCGCTGCAGAGAAGGACTTGGGGATAGTTGTGGGTGAAATACTGGATGTGAGCCAGCAACGTACACTTGCAGCCCAGCAAGCCAATTATCCGGGGCTGCATCAAAAGCCGCATGGCCAGCAGGTTGAGGGAGGGGATTCTCGCCCTCTACTCCGCTCTCGTGAGACGCCACCTGCAGTACTGCGTCCAGCTCTGGGGTCCCCACTACAAGACCAACACAGAGCTGTTGGAGTGAGTCCAGAGGAGGGACACAAAAATGGTCTGAGGGCTGGAGCACCTCTGCAATGAAGACAGGCTGAGAGAGTTGGGGTTGTTTAGCCTGGAGAAGAGAAGGCTCCACGGAGATGTTACTGTGGCCTTCCAATACTTAAAAGGGGCTTCTAAGAAAGATGCAGAAAGACTTTTTATCAGGGCTGGTGGTGATAGGACAAGGGACAATGTTTTTAAACTGAAAGAGGGTAGGTTTAGATTGGATATAATTACAAAATTCTTTACTGTGAGGGTGGTGGGACACTGGACCAGGTTGCCCAGAGAAGTTGTGGATGCCCCATCCCTGGAACTGTTCAAGGTTGGATTGGGTGGGGCTTTGGGCATCATTTCAAGCATTTAATCTAGTGAAAGATGCCCCTGCCCACAGTAGGGGATTGGACTAGATGATCTTTAAAAGTCTCTTCCAACCCAAACCATTCAGCGATCTAAAGTGTGTGGACAGAGGAGTATTGTCAGTGAAGTCACCTGTTTAGCTAGCGGAGCATGTTCTCAAACAAAAACTTCTTGCATGCCTGGTTCTATTCCAGACATACTCCTCAATCCTAGCTATTAGCAGTTTGGGAGAAAACCTGCCATAACTGTTTCAAATTTTATTGACCTCTGTTAGTGTTGAGACATCTTCTCTTGGCATTTTTGCCCAGTCAGCCACTAAAATTTTTAGGAATAATCTTATTAAAGCGTTTTTCAGGGAAAAAAGAAAAGAAAGGAGGAATTCCAAATTTCAGAACAGAGACAGTCATCCTTTCAATATTTAGTAAGTCCAATTTCGATAGAATTCCTGATAATTGAAATTCAGTTTCTTCTTTGGACAAAGTCACTGCCCATGACTACAAAAGATCCTCTTTCACACAGTTTCTGAGTAGAGGTGGATGGAACACCTCTCATGAGAGCTTGCTGATCAGAAATCATTTCCCCTTTAGTAAAGGTAGGGGTTACGGAAGCAATACCTAGCACAGTGTGATAAAATATTGCCTGGTCTGATAGAATTTTCTGCTTTACGTTGGGATTACTGGCTCAGTAAAGTGTGCAAAGTTCAGTGTCCAGGTCTGGCTTAGCTTTATCTTTTAGCATGTGTTCCTGAAGCTACAGAAAATAGTTCTAAGTCTATTAATCTTAGAGGTACTTTCTGTCTTCTAGGAAAGAATAAACTCAAATGTTTCATTTAAAACTGGAAAGATTCACCAAACGAATAGATCCAATATTATTTTCTAACTGCATAGAAAATGCAGGTGCTTGTTTCAGCCATGGTTTTGTCTGTTGGAGATTGTTTCGCTTACTGACTACATTTGCTGGGTCAGACTGTTACCCGCTATGTGGACATCTACTCCAGCACTTTGTTCTCAGCTGTGACCAACAGCAAATACTGGAGGAAAGAGTTTAAGTATTAAGCATTTTTAAAATTAACTCCTGATATATTTCACCACCTTCCAGTAAGCCTTAGTTTAGGAATTTTGGCTTCAAGCCTGCATCCAGATCGTTGTATGAAAGCTACAGTGACACTATGATACCATGAGTAGGTATCAATGGCTCTATCTCCTGTAAGCTTGTCTAATCCCTTTTGAATATATTATACTAGCAGTTGCTGAGCAATTTTCAGTGCCTTGCTTTTCCTTACAGAATTCACTTGTATCTCTCCTACAGTTTCATATGAAATGCTTTTTGCTTAGTACACATAGTAAATTATATTCATGAAATAAGCAATGTTTGCATCTAAAATATACCCTAAAGCATGCCATGGCCCATGGGAAATACCGTTCTGTATTTTGGAAGTTTATCAAAGTAGCTGCAGTGACATCTGGCTTCCTAACTTCAGAATAATAATATTGAATTTTAAATGAAAAAGAACTTTGTATGCACAAAGCGAGATCCCAGTACTGCAGGAAGTGCAGTGAGCGAGTGATTTTATTTTATTTTATTTTTTAAGTTAACACTGAACTGTCTCTGAACTGTCCCTGAGGCACACAAATGGTGGTGGGTTCTTTGTGAACTCCAGTCCTTAAAAAAAATCCCATGGGGTTGTGCAAAGCAGGTGAGACCCTACGTGACTACAGTCACCGTGAAAGACACATTAGGCTTGACGACCGGTAGAGGCCGATAGGTTAAATTATCAACATTTTAACAATATTAAAAAGAAACGAAATACCTAGATTTTTTTTTTTATTTAAAACCATACATGAAAGTGCTGTGCTGTGTTAAGTGGTCGCCAGCCTATACCCAGCAAGCACAAAGATTGAAGCGTCTCTGTGTGCTGTCAGATTCTGTGTGTCCTCTGGAATGGAACGTGCTACTGATACTGAGTACGAGCTTCAGGTGTTTGTCATCTCATCATAGAAGGAAATTCTACACTGAAGACAGCTATGCCGTGTTCTGGGGATTGTGCCTTTGCTTTCTTTCAGCTTTCAAAATCAAGAGCCCTTCCTGGTACTAGGAAAACCTAAAGCAAAAGACAATGAAGTATCATTAGAGATACTTTTACTTACAGATTAACATTGTTAAGTACTTGTGCTCAGTACATTTGAAGCTTTGCTTAGTGCTTTATTTGGCTACTGTCAGGATTGGTTCTATGGTTTGCTTAAAGGCTTCCCTGCAGTACTACACAGCCTGAGAGTTGACCTCATTATTGCTGATTGCCATTCAGTTTAGAGAAGTAACTGAAACAGAAAAGGAAAACACTAGTCAAATTGGGAGTAAAATAAGTGGTCTTCATGTTGTAAGATTCTATAGATAAGGATTCCTAGGTTTTTCAGGGGTAGATATTTTGTTTCCATTAGACTTCAGTCCCTATGTTTAAAGTATACCTTTTAAAGTGAATATTAAACGAACTGATTATAGGAAAAAAAAATTCCTTTACTCACTGTAATGGGAATCTCAGTTCCATGGTAGCAGTGGGAGAAACAAATTCTTAGACAGAATTCTTGAGAAATATATTCCTCCTCATGAAGTCAGAGCCTGCATTGCCTCTCAGCTGCCTGGCTTGGGTGTTTCAAAGGATAATGATGGACAAGGTAACGCATGAAAAGTTCACTGTGCTATGTCCTGTGTCCACAGAAACAATTTTTATGTGGACAAGGATGCCTAAAAAACTTGTGAGAACTTGCTTGAGCAAATAATATTAATGTAAAAATATTTTAAAACTTCTGTCAGAGTAGTACTTCTTTTCATACAGCTGGTCAGTCCACCTGATAAGCTTTGTATGTCTGAACAGCATAGTAAAAATCTGTGAAGAAAGGGAGTTGGTTCACTTTCGTTCATGCAGAAGACCAAGCCTGGGCATCTATTTCAGATTTTAAATCAGTGTGTTGATTTAAATCTTGCCAGTTTGTATTCTTGGCCTTTGAAAACTTCCTGCATCATCTCACCCAGTGTGCCATTTGCATTTTGAATTACTAGTTCATGTTTTCAGTACTAATTTATGGGACACAATTTGCAGCTGAAACTTCCGACAGCTAAGGACGTTTTACTGAAACAGGAAAAATGAAGATTAAATTCAATTTCTAATAAAGTACCTGAGTTCATTTACCACACAGGACCTAAGTATCCTCAGAACTAGCATGAGGGAAATGACTTACTTTTTACATCTACCAGTCCTTAAGCTTTGGTTACATTAATCATATTCAATTCCTAGTGGTGATGTACATCTGTTTTCATTATGTTTGATAGTAGACATTGTATGTATCAATCTTTTTCCAGCCTTAAAGCACAGACTTGAGGAATGTCCTTCAACCAGCTCCCTGACACTTTATCAGTTACTTGAAATAGTCATTATGTTGCTTTTTGACCTCTATGCTTTAGGAATGACATTGAGCGAATTTTCATTGATAGAATTTTTATTGGTCTGTTTCAGATTTTGCAAGAACGAGGTTCCAGGATGTGAAGACAGTATTGAATGGTGACAGTTTTTTCTCTTTTATTCCAAGACGCAGTGAATTGTCACACTGAAGAGGCTCGGCTGCAAAAAGAAAAAAATCCGATTTAGACAATTTTCTGTTGATCTGGGTTCAACCATTTTTGCCTATAAGCTAGTGTCAACTGGCTGAGAGCATTGCAAGATTACGTAACAGGAATAGATGGTGTGGGAGTGTGTGTTAAGTTTTGGTTGTAGTGCATGGTTGTACTCTCTTGTGGGCTGACTGACACTGGTCATTTGAAAAGAAATGACCATGCACTCATATTTTCCTCTGAGACATGTAGCACTTAATGTCTGGTGCTGGATGACCCAATGTTGATCAGTTTGGAGATGTTTTCCTACTAATAATTGTAAACGTTTAAAGGACAATGTAATTGGTGCTACACACACACACACACACACACATATTACAGCCCACAAAGTCAAATATTTGGGCCTACATTGTTTCAGAATCAGTGGCAGCCCCAGTTGACTGTGTTATACTGCACATTCCTTATGGCTCTGTGACATACTCTATTATGTAATAACAGCCTAGGAGATCAACTGAAACTAGCACGTAAAAAGCTACACAACAGACAAAAGGTTTCTCTAAAGGAAGGGTGTATATATTGACTGGATTTATAGCATATTTTAATACCCAAAGGGAAGACTAAACTCAGAGAAAATGACCTTCATCTGAGTTTTTCTTGATGTTCCTTCTGTTAAGAGTCTCCTCCTGCAAAAGTTATGCTCCAGTCTTAGCCAGATGTTTGGAAGGGGAACCAATATTCACTTAAAATGAACAACTGAACATTCTGTTTCTTTTGAGATGTTTGTACTCATATGTGTGGTTGTGCTTTTATAAAATGCCTATAAGCGTTGAACTCTGTGGATTATGGAGAGATTTTTCAAGAGCTGGAGGCTGTACAGAAATGTGGCTGGCTAGTCCTAGATCCCTGTCTCTGTGACTGGGATTAAAATCAACCTTGAGTGTGAACACAAGCTCATCCAATTGAAAAACTTAATTACTTCAGACATTCAGGATACCTGTAATCAATCTTTCTCTTTCTATACTGTTTCAACTATGCAGTTAAAGAACACTGTTGGAAACCATCTGTGCAGCTTTATTAGTTTGTCCTTGATGAAGGCTAATACACAAGACTGGAGCTTTTTAATACACTATGTTTTGAGCAAAATCTTTAGCACGTCTTTAAAACACTTAATGAAATTGACAGTATCAAACTCGGCTTTATTAACTTACGAAAGTGGTGGAAGGGAGTTTCAAAGAGCTACAAGATTGTTTCGAATTCTAAAGACATTACAGTTTTCATTCTCAGTAACTTCAGAATTTATGCATATGCTCTAGGTAATCCTTTACACAAAAGCCTGATTTTCAAACACCCAGGGTTTACTCTTTTTTTTCTTTTTTTCTTTTTTTTTTTCCTTTTTTTCTAAAAAGGACTTATATACATTGATAAAAGTTTGGCAGAAACAATTTGTAAAAACCATTTCTACTAAGCAGGTTAAGCATTGGGCTAAATGTTTTGTCCATGTGTCTAATGCTTGAAAGGGTTTGTAATGCATTTTGCGACTTGGATGTGGTCTGCACAGGAAGCTGCTGGCCCCTCCACAACAACACATAAAATGTTTGTCTTTTTTTAAGATGTTAAAACTGAATTGAATTTACTAAAACTGTAATTGTGTAGGGGGAAATGTTTATACTTTTATACTTTTTTAGGCACCCATATTTTATCAGCTTAAATTTAGCACCCAAATTTCCCCTAAATAGTAAGAGGTTATCTTGTGTATCTGAAAACAAACGTAACAGTTGTCTGTGTTAACTGCATATTAAAACATTTCCTCTGCTGCAGTAGTCACTGTGTTTTTAAACAGTATGACTCCACCAAATTCTCTGAGCTCCCTAGCTCATGGAATTGCAGCCAACCATGTTTCTTGTTATTTTCTTGATGTACTCTACAGAGTAATTTGGCATTGGCCCAAGTGGATTTTAATGCCTAAAATATCTGTTTTACAATGATCCTTCTGAATCAGCACTTCTGTTTTCTCTCTTCTTTAACCCAAAAAATAATATTTTCTTTCATAAAGTGAAAATTTCAAGAATGTCAGCAGCAAAGCATGAGTAACAAACTGAGCAAACTGAACAAATTTAGAATATATAAAAGAGTGGGTTTTTCTAAGTATGGTTTTTTTTCACTGGAGTATTTTCAGTTTAAAAACATGATTTTACGGTGAGATTACCTGCCATCTAGTTTACATTGTATCCCTATTTGTAGCAAATTTTGGGGAAATGAGTGGTTAATCATTTTGCACTTTGTTTCCAATACCTCACAAAGATTTTAAGAAAGAAAAAAAAAAAAAGATAACTTTAATAGGCAGGTACCTTGTAAATTATTTTAAATATGCTGTTGTTTGAGACCACCTGAACTAACTACTATCCTGTTCTTGCTAATGTCATTATTGCTTTAATTTTTGTGAACGTATGAGGCTTTCAGATAGATGGAAGTGCTACCATATGCCTTCTTCAAGGCATTAAGAACTGATCCCCAAATAAGTTTGGTTTCTTTTTATTTGACTCTTGTAATTTCAAATAAAGTTAGCTACAGTAACAAGGTAATTGCATTAGAGTCCAATCTACATCACCAGGTATTGCAAACATTGCTTTATCTGTTAAGATCTTGCAGGATCAGGTAATGTACCACTAGAGTTTAAACTGGAATTCTTTATCTGTTTCTTTTCTGTAATTTGAAGGGTATTTACCTTGAGAGAACTGCCTAGGACTGTGTAAAGCTGATGGGTTCACAACAGGGCTGTAGCTGAAAAGCTACAACAAACTCAAAGGCTGCAAAAGTCTTTGTCATGAACTGTGGATTTACACAGCTTCTCTACTGTTGAGTCAAAGCAATGTTCCAGGTTAGAATTCAAGATCCTGAGCACGGAGAGATCACAGCAGAAGGAAATAAAGTAGGAAGGGAGAGACACCAAAACGTAACAGTTAATCAAGGTAACCTCTCATGAAAATGTAAATTCTATGAAAGATTTACCTTTCGGCCCTTTTGCTATATGAGTATTCAATGAAGTTGTTTGGCATGTTGTCCATGGAACAGGAGGTTACTTCAGCAGATGATGAGTGGATTTTCAGTAAAATTCTTTAAAGGCTTTTACATGACAAATGTCTTGCAAAGCTTGTTTAAAAACTGAGAAGTTTTTAAACCATAGCAATTTCTTGCTTTGAGTTAGGAAATGGATAGCGTACTGGTGGCCTTAAGTTTTGTCAGAGGCTAATTTTCTTTATTGGAGATGACATTTTTATATTAAATGCTTTTGAATTCTTCAAGCAGCAATTAAAAGAGTTTATCTGCAATGAACAAGTCATTCTGAGGCCTCCAAGACGTGAATGTCAGCTGGTCCATAATAACTGTCCAAAATTATTGACTCAGCAGCTCAACAGGAAATGTGAAATAGACTTTTTTTTTTTTTAAACAAAAGACAAAAGGTTACCTGGAATTTTCTCCCACTTGCTGTGGGGTTTCTGTGGATTATGGCTAACTGCAGTTTATTATCTCACGGTAATTTAGTGTGTCAAAGGCTTGATTGTATTTAGAAGCTTATATTGATTCTCTCCTAGACTTTCAGTTCTCAGAATCATATACTCAGAAAACTTGGAAAATGTACTGTGTTTTTTTTTCAAACTCAGCTGGGTTTCTTATAATGATAAAAATTCATCTTTCATTGTAGCATTAGTAAAAGATATTTCTTAAGAAATTGAGCTCAATGTATCCATCGAACTTTTTTCTTTAGACAATAGCTGTGTAGCTCCATTTCTAGCAATGTGAATGCACAGTTATGATTGATTAGAAACAGGACTGTTTCTGGAAGATACCAAAATTTAATCAATCTTGTCTTTCTTTGAGACAGGGTTTTTTTCAGGAGAAAAATGAAAACTTCTAGCAGATTAAACAAAAGAAATCTTTCAGGCATGCTTAGGGAACAGGTCTGTTGAGTAGGATGATGGTGTTTTCAGAAAACTGCTTCTCAGATGAGAACATTGTATTCTGTGAACGTCTGTTGAGGTTGTTGAGAATTGTCAGTGTCTTTCTGAGCAGTAGAGAGCTGCCACCAGCAAATGAACACACATTAATTACAAATTACTATTTTTGTTAGTATTACAAAAATGAACTTGGGATGCAAAAATGCAATATGGAATGAAATTACCTAGAAACTGGATTATAATGTGTATTGTCCAGTCATTCAGGTATACTGGAATACATTCCTTGAGAAGTACTGAGAGAAGAGTGAAGTACTGGGCTTTTCATGGAGATCAAAGTCAAGTGAAAGAGAGTCTGGAGGTGAAGCCTGGGATTTTGTTCACTTGAGATGTGATAAAAATCAGAAGGTGTCATTCTCCTATTTTATCCTCTTTCTTACCATATCAAAAGCATCTTTCAACTTTTCAAATTATCTTCTTCAATCAGCCCTGAAAGGTGGGGCCCTGGAAAAGAAATGAGATTTTGTTACGCCTTTAACGGTACCTGTTAGCTCAGGATGGTAGCATTAAAACTTCCAGTGGCCATTGGAGAAGTGTCGTTTCTAACAACAATTTTGAAATACCTACGGTCTGAGGATGCTGCCTGTTACTTCAGTAGAGTTTAGACTGCAGTTATCTCCAGCTTTAAGGACAATCTCAGGATCTTACCTGGATTTGTGTGTAGAATTATTGATTCTTAAAATAGTATAAATACTCAGTTTAAAAACAATGTGGAAGGCTGTTTGAACTCATTGTCATATAACTTTTCTTTCTTTTGGCTCACAACAATCAGGAGCTATCTTTAAAGGCTTCTTACTGAACTGAGGCTTTAAAGGGCTAAATAGATCTTACTGTTCAGTTTGCCTAAATGACTGTCAGACAGAAGGAACTCTCCATTTTCAGTGCAGAAATGCTAAGGGCTAAAATCCTCTCCAGGGCTAATTTGAAGTTCCAGAAACACATAACGCTTCAAAAGCAGCTAGTCTGTTTTTCTTTCAGCTCACGGACTCTTAAAATAATTTTTACAAATGGCTGAACCAATTGCAGATATAAGTGTTCATATATGGCTTGGAATTTCAGCATCCAGCTTGGTAAGGAACACGCTAGAGAAAACAGTACGCTTGCCCACCACTTTATTATTGCCTACGCTGAAATCTAACAACTTTAATGAACAGCACTGGCAATAGAGAGACTTTGAGGAAGATTCTGCCCCAGGAAATTGTCGCTGAATATTTCATTGCAACTTGGCTGTCCTTTACTTTAGCAAGGCCTACCAAGGCATAAACTTCTCAGAAGTTCAGTAAATAGATACTGCTGCAAATAGTTTTCTGTGCCCATCTAAGGGTTCTCTTTAGGATGTTGTGTGTTAGTAACTACTATAATGAGAGAAACTTTTTTAGAAAGTTATTTTGCTACATTGGGGGTGGGTGGGAGGGGAGGAGGTTCTGTGCCAGTGCTCTCCTTGCCTTAGAAAGCTGAGACTAAATTTTGACCTGACTTAACACCTGTTGAGATTTCCAGGCCTGGTCATCTGAAATGTAAGAGTTTATGTATTTATGTGCATGATTCTTGCTC